CAAAATTTATATATTTATATTCCCGTAATTAAATATATTTTACAATTTAAAATTGAAAAAAAAATTCCCTAGCAAACGAATTCTTCGTTCCCTTTATTCGATCCAAAGAAAAGATAAAAATCTCAACGATATATATATATACAACAAAGCTCGTTAGTCAATCGACATTCTTCTTCCTTTTCATCGAAACCAAGAATTCGACGCATCCTCCACCGACCGCATTTCTCATTAGTAGAACAAGCGTGTCGGTTCGTTCCAAGAGCGTTCTCTCTCTCTCTCTCTCTCTCTTACCTGGACAATCGAGGAGCTTGTCGTGCAGACAATCGGTCAGATTGCTCTCGTTCCCGCGACACTGTACGCCACTGATGGCCATGGGCGTCTTCTCGCCGCCGAAAAAGTTGGTCTGGACGGCGTCGGAGGCGTAACCAAGGCCCAATTGCCGGCAAACAACCGCGGCCTCGAACAGGGACCAACCATCGCCGCAGATGACACCCCAATCTTAAATAAAATTATCTCGTCCTTTTTTTTCTCTTCTTCTAAAATTTTTTTTTCTTTCTCTTTCGAGAACTTTGAAACGTATATGCAACGAACAGAAAATTTGGAAATGAGATTTATAAAAAGGATTTATATTTTTTTTTATTAGACGATTAACACGATGATTGTATTTTTACTCTGTTGTTTAATTTTCAATTGATTTTTTTAAATTTTAATATTCACGTCTGTTACATATTTATCATTTACAGAATTTATAGAATTTTTTTTGAATTAAAGAACACAGGAATAAGATAGAATCTAGTTAATACTAGATATCAAGTAATGTAGCTTAAACCTGATTCAAACAATCAAAACTATCCAAGAATTAATTTTACCCTTTCCTCTAAGATCCAAGAAAAATTTATCATAAAAAGAAAAATGATCAAAAATCTTCAAAAAAAGCGAAAGATCACTGGTGAAAAATCTCGAATTCCGCCCAACATCATACCTGAATGCCCCAGCTTAACCTCCACTCTCCCTTCGCTGTGGACACGTCCCCCCGCCAGCCTTATCGCCACTCCCTGCTGATGTATATCCTTGATCCTCCGTTTCTCCGGCTTCCTCTTCGCCTTCGACCGCTCCCTCGCCCCATCCTCCGCTTCCTGTTGTTGGTCGCGGGCGCAAATTACGCCGGCCGCCTCGCCGCCCTCGCAGTCGGAAGCGCCCCATCCGTCGAACCGACACTTCGAGAGCTCGTCCTCGCTCCCGTCGCAGTACACGTTGTCCATCCAATATCTTCCTGCAACCGTTTCCCACTTCGCAACCCTTTGAGAAACTAGTACCTCCTAGGGAGAGGAAGAGAGGGAGGGAAGGAGGGGATCTCTTTCTTTGTAATTTTTCAATTTTATTACAAGTTCAATGATTTTTTTTATTATCTTAAATTACTCGTCGCAGGAGAATTGGAAATTGAGAGGGTTTTTGAGGGAGATTTATATTGCAATTATATTGTAATCTAAATATATAATATAGGTGTGTATGTGTAATGTGTATAATGGGATTTGTTGTTAGAAGAGGGGGATTGCAAGAGGAGGTACGAGACAATTGTAAAAAGATATATTTAATGATTGATTTCATAATAGATTTCGTAATTTAGAAATTTAGAAAATTTTGAAAAAAATAAATGATGAGTGTTTTAAAAATATTATATAACGAGAATAAATTTTAAGAGTTAATAGTTTCAAATCTAAATGGATTATAAAAATTAAAGTGTCGTTCATTATATCGATATTCTTTGGATGGACGAAAGTGGGAAAAAGCTTTTAACACCCCAATCAATAGGGTGGAATGGTTTTCACGTGACCACTAAGGCAGGGCAGTTTCGACCTCGATTAAAAGGAACAGGTGAAAGATGCTTCTTATCTGGTTGGATACGTACGTGCTCACTCACATTTACACTAGATTAGCTTATTGGATTATTTCGATGTCTTTCGATGCGCAACGTTCCATAATACACGTCGTTGTAAGATAAAATATAATCGAGAGAAATAAATTTTAATCCCTTCTTTTTAATTGGTGGAAAAAAATTAAAGAAATGGAAATGTGTGGATTTGCTACGTGGAACCGCAAAGGATTTTTTTTTTTTTATTTTTTTCATTGGAAACGCGAGGACAGAGGGATGAACGATTCATATTTAATTGACGCTTTTTCCCACTTTTTCCCACAAGCTTCGAAATAATCCTAGTCCGTATCCTTTCTATTTTATTTACCAGATTGTTGCAGATGGAATGATTGAATTTTTTGGTAATATTTTCAGTGTGTGTAATTTTATCGGGAATGATATTTTTTTTTTTTAAATGAAATTATTCACTATTATTTGAGAAAAGTGTTTCATATTTTTTATCAATTCTTGATTGAATATTTATATTGTTAAAATATATAAAAGGGGAAGAATCATTTAAAAAATTTTTTTAAATTGTAAATTTTGCAATTTTCTAGAATTTTAATTTGCAAAGTTTTTTAAATTTTTAAATTTCCAATTCGAAATTTTTCGAATGTTCAAAATCAATAAAAAATTTTTCAATTTATAAAGTTTCAATTTTTAAATTTTCAAATTACTTATTTTTTTTTTTAAATTAAATTTTTAACTTTGCAATTTCCAATTTCCTTCCAAGTTGAAAGCTTTTTAAGTTCCAAAGAATAATGTTCCTACTTCAATTTAACAGCGAAAAAAAGAAAAAGTCATTTCTTTACAGAGGTAAAATACGTGGCAAATGATTCCACATACAATGGACTGTATTTGAAAGGGAAACTAGAAGATATCTATAAAATCTATAATAATAATAATAATCCAAATTACAAAGCAAATTTAGGAAATTTAAGATAAAATCTAGGGTATTCTAGATATCCATAGTTATCTACAATATTCTAGAAATCTACAATTCAATTACAAATGAGAAAATTCTTCGAATCTATTTGAAAATTAATAAATTTAAAGAATTCAGAGAAATAAGAAAATTTATAAAATCTAGAGTATTTCAAAAATGTACAATAATAATTCGAATTACAAAAAACTAAAAGAATGTATAAAATCTAGGGTATTCCAGAAATATACTATAACTAAGTTCGAATTACAATAACGATTAGAATTCATTTAAAAACTAGTCAATTTAAAAAATTTATAGAAGAATCTATAAAATCCAGAATATTCTATCCACAGTAATAAGAATTATTTCGTATACAACTTAATAATATTTAAAAATGAGAAGATTTAAAAAAATCTAGGGAGATAGAAAAGAGTCTATAGAGTATTCGAGAAATGTACAATAACAGTTAGATTTGATATAATTGAATTTGATTAAAAGTGAGAAAATTTAAAAAAATCTAGGGAAATAAAAGAGCCTATAAAATCTAGGGTATTCCAGAAATGTACTATAACTAAGTTCGAATTACAATAACGATTAGAATTCATTTAAAAACTAGTCAATTTAAAAAATTTATAGAAGAATCTATAAAATCCAGAATATTCTATCCACAGTAATAAGAATCATTTCGTATACAACTTAATAATATTTAAAAATGAGAAGATTTAAAAAAATCTAGGGAGATAGAGAAGAGTCTATAGAGTATTCGATGTAATGTACAATAACAGTTAGACTTGATATAATTGAATTCGATTAAAAGTGAGAAAATTTAAAAAAAATCTAGGGAAATAAAAGAGCCTATAAAATCTAGGGTATTCCAGAAATGTACTATAACTAAGTTCGAATTACAATAACGATTAGAATTTACTTAAAAACTAGTCAATTTAAAAAATTTAATAGAAGAATCTATAAAATCCAGAATATTTCACAGTAATAAGAATCATTTCGTATACGACTTAATAATATTTAAAAATGAAAAGATTTAAAAAAATCTAGGGAGATAGAGAAGAATCTATATAATATACAGTATTCGATGTAATGTACAATAACAGATTTGATATAATTGAATTCGATTAAAAATTTAAAAAAAAATCTAGGGAAATAAAAGAGCATATAAAATCTAAGGTAATTTCATTCACGATAATCAAGTTTTAAAACGGTAATATCGATGGTAAATTTAACCCGTTAACAGGGATCGCAATCATTTCATACGCAACAAAACGTTAATATTTCACGTTTCTTTATTTTCTTCGAGAAAGAATATTGGTTGAAATGAATAGGCAATATCTCACTTCTTGCCTGGCCAAAGTGACTGTTCGCTGTCGGTTTAATTGCACCGTCGAAGCCTAATTGCCTGCAAACCACATTGGCCTCCAAGTAATCCCATTCGTCGTCGCACACGCTGCCCCATTTCCCGTCGTGAAGTATTTCCACGTTTCCTGCGTAACCAATCGAATTATGAGTTTGCACAAGCTGATTTTCCGGTTCCAACCGCGTGTCTGGCTAATGGCGGTATTTATGGGGTTGCCGTGATAATTGGCCATTTAAACGGTTGATCTTTCCTCGAGTGTCAATTACCTATTTAGATTTGTACCGTTATTTTCCTTCATTTTGAAATTCTTTTACGACCG